ATTCCGCTTCTGTTCTTGAGTTAGGCCCCGGTCTATAATACCATATTTTTCGGGCTCCATCAGCGCTGGATAAAGATAATTTTTCCAAATCCATTGTCCCGTAATCTGTAGGACATATCCATGATCCTCGCCCTCAAACTTAGACAATAGATGTTCGTAAATTTGCTGAGCAATAAATCGCACCCCAAAAGGCATTCGAGGCAGGAATTCCTCGATAGCGCTGAAAAATTGGTCCGCAATATCACGGAGATCCTGCAAATGTCGAATAAAAGTCTCTCTTGTTTCAGGATCCCGAATCGCCTCTTCTCTGGGTACGTCTATTCGACGTTGGCTCTTTCTGCCAGTGCGAAGCTCCTCATTGCTAATGGCAGAGCGGTAGATCTGCATCGGGTCACTCTCCAGGTCAAGATCAGTATTCTCGATAATATGCTCCCTGACCAACTGCCCCAGAATATCTCGCATGAACTTCCGATCCTTGGGCGACTTTGTATAAGCAGCGAACAGTTTGTTCCAGAAAGCGTTACACCGTATATAATCTTGGATGGAAGGAGAGTGATCTATTTCTTCATGAGCAGATTTGACAAGGAGTTTTACTAGGTAGTATTCCTCACGCCTCTTCTGGGAGTAGCCGAATAAACCCATAACCAGATGCTTGATTCGCTCGCATTCCTTTTCGGGAGTTGCCTGTTCCCGTATTCGTCTGAAAAGTCTGGCAAGGTATTGCGGTTGCGTCTGAAGAACGAAAAAAATATCTTGGTACTGCTCTAATTTCCGTCGAGATGTTTTGTTCAGTGCCTTGAGGTCAAACGGATCCTTGGAAGATAGGTCTCTGTTTGGTAGAAGTGCACCAACATGACCTCCAAAATGCTTCTGATGCTTCACTACCTCATCGAGAGTGATCTTGCTTTTTACAAGAAGGGCGATTTTGATATCTAGTTGCGTAATATATTGGTCCGCCATTTCATTCTGCCGCACATGTTGGACCACCATTTTCCGCAGGCGTTCAAATTCAATTTCTTCATCGAAATCAAAATCGCTGTCGTTGAGGAGATGTACGAAACCCTTAATAGTTCCAACCGGGGGATTTTTCCCGCTAGTCAGGCTCTTGTAAGCCTCTCCTTGAATCTTTGCTCGGACAAAACTTTGGACCTTAATAACTTTTTCCATATTTTCACGGTAGTACTTTTGCCTCTCAGCAAAGCGCTGCCGCACAAGGAGTCCTCTAATAGCAGATTGGAAGTCGATTATTACCTCTTCCTCCGCATCCAATTCCTCCAAGACCTGGCCAACGTCGACCCTAACCAGCATCGCACGAGCAAGGGCCTGAAGTCGAGTAATCTCATCCCTTGATGTTTCGAGCTCGCAGAGCAAATAACCAATGTCGATTCTTAGTATGGCGGCTCTGGAAAGGGCTTGCAGGTTTGTAATGACGGAGTTTTGCTGCAGGAGGGCATTTCGGTCTGCCGTTTGACGTTTCCGTAATACAAATCCTCTGGAAAAGGACTGAAGGGTAAGTATATCGCTTTCATTGTCTCGGAGAGCGCTTTTAGTTGCTTTGACAGAAGAGCGCAGAGAGGCGGCACGAAGAGCACTTTGAGCTTCAATAATTGAGGGGATCTGGGCGTTCAGCCGAGTTCGAAGTGATTTGACGTCTCCTCTGGCGGCTGCTCCTCGAGAAAAGGATTGTAGAGTAATCCATTTAACACTCATCTTTGCCAGAGATAGCTTCTGGGAATCATATATCTTTCTCAAAATAAAGCCTCTAACCGCCGATTGTAGTGCCGTTATAACGGGAGCTCCTTCTTCCAAGGTTAGTATAACTTGAGAAACTCTATTTCGCTCTTGCCTGCCTCTGATGGCAGATTCTAGCGCTATTATCATGGGGATTCCATCTTCCAAGGTTAGTATGTCTCGAGCAACACGATTTCGTTCCACCATGCCCCTAATAGCAGCTTGTAGAAATTGGACTTCGACTTCGGCATCTCTAGTTTGCTCGTATTGATCGCAAACCCTGTTTCTAGCTAGGGCTCCTCTGATGGCTGCTTGAATATGTTTAATGCCAGACTCTTCTCTCTGTGCTCTAGTCGTCAGTAGTTGAACATCCGAACGAACCCTATTTGCGCGGATCAGACTTTGCAACATCAGAATGTTTGGCTCGTTCTCTTTCCAGGATTGTTCGCTATCTTGAGCTTTCATTCGAACCAGGAATCCGCGTGCATAAGACTGTAAATTCACAGCGAACCGTCGCATGCTCAGCCGGTAGCCAACTATTTCCCTAGCCCATTCTCCCCTTATTCTTGATTGTAGGTCGACCAATGCACTTTCGTTATCCCACAGCTCCTGCATTACGTTCCCCAGTCTCAAACGTGTAAGAGCCCCTCTTATTTGAGACTGGAGGTCAGATGTAATCGCTTCGTTCATGTGGAGTTCTCTATCGATGCGATCCTCTTCTGACTCGATGGGTTCGGGTTCCGGCTCAGCACCAAAGCTCGCCCCCATACCAGAGAAGCTAGGCATGGGAACTCCTGACATGTCAAGACCTTTTTGCACTTGCTCAAGCTCATGATGTTCAAACTCCAGTTGACCAACCAAATTGCCGATACGGAAATCAACAATTCCCTTTTTATAAAGCAACCATGATAATGCATGGATACAATGTATGACTTTGGGGATGTTTTTCTTTTCATACAGGTCAATCAATTCAAACCAAAATAAGTCTGGAAGTTTAATTTCTTTAAGAAGTTGGAAAAAGATGGCAATGTTGTCGGAATGGCGGTACTGTAACTTGGGGTGTTTGAATATGCGAAAAGTGCGATGTGGATATAAAGCTTGCACCACTTCCGCGAGCGTGACTCCGTCCCGGAGAGTTTCCTCTAGTTGAACAATAGGCGGAATTGACTTGTGAATAACATCCTCAATCCATTCCTTTGCTTCACCAATATGACAAAGGTATTCATAGGCCTGTAGGAATTGTCGTTGTTTATCCATCCAAACACTTTCTGTCCATGCCGATGCTCGAACTTTTTCAGGAGACGTGGCTGACTTTGGGGCTCTAATGGAGTCTTCGCGCTTCAGTCGACGACGGCCATGCAAACCAACAACAGAAGGAACAGCGGAAGCCAAGGCAAAGTCTTCGCTTTCTGTCTGCGCAAATCTCGAAAGTGTCCGCAGATGCCCAGTTGAAGATCTCTGGAACGTTTTTAGTTCGGGTGCTGTAAATGCGGTTGTTAACACCGGAGGGTGCGGGGTGGATTGTGTACGGGAATGCTGTCGTCGAATGCATGGTGATAATTCTTGTCCAATTCTATCAATATTTTCCTTGAGTCGCACAGCTTCGCTATCATATCCCCCAAAAATGGAAGGTTTCCCTTGAGATATGTCATCGAGTTGAAGGCTGGTCATTGTCTGACTTCGCTTCCGACTCACGCTGGCTGGAGGTGATGAGCCATTGGGCGTCTGGGGAAGCGGCCGCAACGAGCGACGAAGATTTCCATACGTCTCACTAGCACTTGGTGGAGTGGAAGCTCGTTCAAATCGTTCCCCGATTTTGCTCACCAGCCCTCTGCTAGCATTTGAATCGGACACGAATCCCCCAGATGAGTTCGAAGATAAGGTACTTGTCCGGCTGGGTAACAGCGAGTTTGAATAGGAGGAATAAATTGATGAATTAGTCGATGCCGTCGAGCCATGACGAAGTGGGCTGGGAGGGTGTGTGGGCAGCTCTGGTTGAGACCGTCTAAAGGGGTGGAGGTTTGACATCACGACGGCTGGTTAATGGACATATGCGCGAGAAAAGAAATTTCAAACACTCAACTGCGCGCATGCCGGAACACTCATAGGAGAAAGCAAATTGCTCTGTCAAAGGGCGGTTTGGCTGTGTGCCGCAACGATCAACCCAGCAGTGCTAGTCGACACTCCCGACCACAGTTGGTATGTGGAGCTCTTGAAGGTGAGAAGTTCAGAAAAAGTACTGAATGGTATAGAATATAGTGTTACTTTGTCTGCTGGAGGGCCAAAAAGGCCAGAGAGCTTTCCCTGTCAGCGTGGGTTTGTGATGCATCTCGGTTCACGAAATCTGCCCTCGGCCAGCTTTGGCTGTTGTTGAGGTGCCAATTTCGGGGTGGAACCTGAAGACCAAAACAAAATTCCCAAAACGGCAAGGTGGCTCCGGTATATCACGTGAATTTGCATAACTACTTTTCAAAGTTCTGACGCCATCGGAAGAAAAAACTGTAAATTACATATTGATGATCAAGAGTCTCGGAGGTCGAACAGACAGAGCCCAGACACCGCTCGAATTGCCCAAAAGGATTCAAAGAGACAATTGAACCGAGAATGAGTGGAGTTATTCAGGAAAGTAAAACGATATCAAAATGGGAGAATTGAAGCTGGATAATAAATAATATTCTTTCAAGTCTGCAAGAAAAATCTCCCCTTCTAACGGGCACTACGACCTATTCTGCATGGCAAAGAATGTCCTGTTGGTAATGATGCAAGTAGAGATCGATACTATTCATCAGAAAGGTCAGATGAAGCCCTTTTTCCGGAAATCCAGAGAGAATCTGTGGTACACATAAAACGCCAAGTTACACCATGCCATCCCGTCTTCCATGACCACGCAAGCCCAGGTTGTAATTTAGGGATAACTGAAGAAGCTATCATTATACCACAAAAATTTGTGGCATACCCCCGGATTGGACAGGATCTTAGTCCTTCTTGTGTCCATCTCTTGAAGGGTTTCTTCCCGACTCTCTCTGTCCCAGTTTACCGATAACAACCCGGAAGATTTGTTTGCCATCGACCCCATGAGACAGTGATTCTGCGTTTGCCCTATCGGCCTCGCAACATTTATTCAATATCTAATGCCAGCGGCGTTATGGTGCATAATGGCACCAGAGGCGGACTGTTGTGGGGCCGTGAGGGATTTACCCTTGTCCCCAGATAGCCGCCCTGTAGTTGAATCGAAACCAGAGTTAACGGCAAGGCACTCAGAGATTGATTCATGGCATCTTTAACATAGCAATACTTCTGAGAGGGCCATTGAGCCAGCCATTCTCCTTCAAGTTACTGAAGGAATTGATTTGGGTAGCGCCTCTAACCTTAGGATTTTGTTGGTATGCTTTGCGAGATGCCCCAGCTTGCCTTGGTCGAACTTATTATTGAAGATGCCACTATAATTGCGGATCTCTCACGGCCTCTTGCCTGTACTGATAGTAACGACACATTTATGGTTGATATGGGGCGTGTTTCGTATATCCAGAGTCGGTTGACTTGTGGAGGAAGATGGTACTTTGGAAATTCATAGTTTTTGACGCGGAAAACAACTTTGGCAAGATAACTAGGCTGAAATGAGATAAAGATATCGCTCTTGGAGTCTACAGTTGACATTGTAAGAGTAAATCTTAGACAGCACCGCGAACGATGAAATCCCATAATACACAACTTTAGCTCGCCAGTTGTTTGGAAACTGAGCAAATATATCCTGATTACCTGTCACACTTTACAGCAGCTTTTCAGTTTGAAAATGTCAACAGAAATGCTAGTACAGGTAATCCATCTTTTTGAAAACCAAATAATCATTAAATTCAGTGGACGAGAACAACGCGTGGTGAAGAGGAATGGAACTCTCACTGCCTTTAACTAATTCTAACACGTGATCCAAGCTCCAACCAGTTAGTGCTAGCGAGTTCGAAGGTCCCCACAGATTAGAAAAAACTTACCAAACCTCCTTTACGGAGCTTTTTTCTTTGCTTTTCTTCCTTTTCTTTTCCTTGGGAAAGACGATTTCTCCCCGTCAACAGAACGTTTGCCTGACATTTGTTGTTGGTATTTCTCTCTGTTTCTCTTTGTCGCACTATTTTGCCATTGGCAAATTACCACTCTCTTTCACACTCTTCTCATTCTCTCTTTCGCCATGCCCGTATCCAATGGAAATGCGACGGGATGTGCCTTCGAACATTTCGTGGATGAAGTGGAATTCGTGGACCACACCAAGGCCCTGGACATCCTGAAAAAGGACTACTCCGGCGATGGCCTGGATATCAATGAACTCATAAATTCCGACAAGCGGGGAGCTCTGACCTATAATGATTTCCTGATCCTTCCAGGCTACATTGGTTCGACATTACCTCTGAAAACAACTTATGTGAAACTTGGTTGACCGGTCCGTAATAGGATTCCCCGCATCCGACGTTTCTCTCGAAACCCCTGTTACAAAACGTATCACTTTGAAAGCTCCGCTGTTGTCCTCCCCAATGGACACGGTCACGGAGCACTCCATGGCCATCCATATGGCCCTTCTTGGTGGTCTTGGTGTCATACATCACAATTGCTCGGCCGATGACCAAGCAGAGATGGTGAGAAAGGTCAAGAGATATGAAAACGGTTTCATTTTGGAGCCTGTTGTTATTTCCCCCAAGACAACGGTGGCGGAGGCCAAGACACTGAAGGAGAAATGGGGGTTCGGTGGATTTCCAGTTACAGGTTCGTTAGATCCACCCTCTATGTTTGATCTATTACCCTACATATCTTTGCAATGATGTTTTCAATCTTTAATTAATAACTTTCGTTCATCTGCAGCGGCGAAAGCTGTTCTGAAGAGACCAGATTTTGTCTGATTCTTGCTTTAATTTGATCTTTGTTTTTTCCTCCATTGATTCCGTCTGGATTTAGCTAACAAATATCAAAAAAACACAGAAGATGGAACTTTACCTTCGAAGCTGATTGGAATGATTACCAGCAGAGACATCCAGTTCCACACTGCAGGTGATGATCCTGTGACAACAGTCATGTCTACCGACCTCATAACAGCTCCCTCCGGCACAACCCTCGCCGAGGCAAACGAAGTCCTGAGAAGCTCCAAGAAAGGGAAACTTCCCATTGTTGACAGCGAGGGCAACCTCGTTTCTCTCCTCTCAAGATCAGATCTCATGAAAAATCTGCATTACCCACTTGCTTCGAAGCGACCCCACTCCAAACAACTTATCTGTGCTGCCGCTATTGGCACTCGTCCTGAAGACAAAGACAGACTCCAAAAGCTGGTTGACGCCGGCCTCGATATCGTTGTCCTGGATAGCAGCCAAGGAAACAGCATGTATCAAATCGAAATGATAAAGTATATTAAAGAAACCTACCCAGATATTGACGTAGTTGCTGGCAACGTTGTCACCAGAGATCAGGCAGCCGCCCTTATTGCTGCTGGAGCTGATGGTCTCCGTATCGGCATGGGCAGTGGCAGCGCCTGCATTACTCAGGAAGTCATGGCTGTGGGAAGACCCCAAGCTGCTGCTGTGCGCAGTGTAACCCAATTCGCTTCTCGCTTCGGTGTACCCTGCATTGCAGATGGCGGCATCCAGAATGTTGGCCACATCGTAAAGGGCTTGGCAATGGGTGCCACCACCGTTATGATGGGTGGCCTCTTGGCTGGTACGACTGAATCTCCTGGAAACTACTTTGTCAGCAGAGAAGGGCAGCTCGTCAAGGCCTACCGAGGAATGGGAAGCATTGATGCCATGGAAGATAAGAAAGCTGGAGGCAAAGACGGACACTCAAGTAATGCTGGCACTGCGAGATACTTCTCTGAGAAGGACCGACTACTTGTAGCTCAAGGTGTTTCGGGTTCAGTTTTGGATCGGGGCTCCGTCACGAAGTTTGTTCCATACCTCATGGCCGGTATCCAGCATTCCCTGCAGGATATTGGGGTGAAGAACTTGAAAGAGCTTCACACCGGTGTCTCCAATGGCTTGGTGAGGTTTGAGGTGCGCAGTGCCAGCGCCCAGGCCGAGGGGAATGTTCACGGTCTTCACAGCTTCGACAAAAAGCTTTATTCTTAAGCTTAAGTGCAACGACTGCCACTTATATTACATGACGAGCCCGTTGTCATTTTAAAAGCTATTGGTTCAATAGGTCTTAGGAGTTTGTCGGAGGTTCCGGCCTTGTATTAATCGATGTTTATTGGTTTTCTTTGTTCTCATCCCAAAGGTTTATGCAGTCCATGAGTCTCCTTACCTAGCCTTTTTCATGCTTCAAAACAATTCATGCCGATCGTCTTGCATTCTCTAATAATGCTCCTATCTTTTTTGGGAGCGGACACTTCTATGTTCTGACCTTGATGTTATATTTCTCTTCACGGATTGCAATTCCGTTCATGATGCAGTAGCTTGCAAATTTCCCCTACCAAGAGCAAAATAACACCCACACAGAGATCATTGCGTATTATCTTCACTCCGATTTTAAAAAGAAACGCATGTAGAATTAACTCAATATACAGTTTTGAAAATATATGTTTTTGTCTGATCGGTAACCAAACGTTGTCGACATGATAGCCCCCTTCGGAGCCCAAGCTGTGATAAACGAGGTTCTGCTGGACCTCGGCATTATTTTCGCCGATAACGCGGTTATCAACTTCCCCACGAAACCAAGGTCAATTCAGCTACCTTTGCATTTCTTCAGAGCTTAAGCGGCCTGATAAGAATACTACTTAAATCCTTCCCCTCTCCACCTATATTCTCTTGGATAATATGTTCCCTTCCATATGTTGCCAATTGCCTTCAAATACAAATCAGCTGCGCAACGCGCTGCGACTAGTGCTCAATTGTTACGGGTTTTATTACTCTTCTCCTGATAGATACACAAAACCGCCAAAGTCTCTGCGCCTCCAAATTGCATGCCGTTTTGGCCAACAATCTTCTTATTCGACGGTTCGGAGAATACCACAGTATCGAAGTATGGCTCCAAAGGTGGCAAACGGAGGCAAGGGTGAGAGAGCCGTGCCCAGGCCGAGCGCAAGGTTAGTCCGTCGCATTGATATATACAACTCCTTGAAATATAAACGAGCTCCATCCAGACGTGAATACCATAAAGCATCAAGTTAATGACTTTACTTACGATCTAGTGTAATCCTAATCTCGCCTCAAAACGAAGTCTTACTACTACACCGTGTGAAGACATCCTCGTCCTTCCCTTCTGCCCATGTGTTTCCTGGAGGAAATATTTCTTCACAGGACGGTGACTTCCCACCTGCCGGCCATCCAGACAGCCATGATGAGGGTCCCCACTACCGACGAGCGGCAATCCGGGAGCTGTTCGAAGAGAGTGGAATCCTTCTTGCGAAGAATAAGTCCACCGGCCAAATGATCCAAGTAAATGAGGAGCAGAGGGAAATAGGAAGACATGCAATCCACATGAACAAGGTCACGTTCAACCAGTGGCTGAAAAGTATAGATGATGCTGCGGAACCTGATATTGGTCAGAGCTTATTATCCCGAAACTTCTGGATATTATCTGATTAACTAAAACCAACCATTTCGCTGGGGTTAATGCCTGCTAGACCCGCTCATCCCATTTACCCACTGGATAACACCGGTAAAGAACCCGAAGCGCTTCACGACACAGATGTATCTCTACTTTCTCCCGCCATCCCCGGAGTCCAAAAACTTAATTGGAAACGAAGAGACTGAAGTCCAAGTGCCAACGTCGGACGGCGGGATAGAAATTACTGAAGCACAATTCCTACACGCCTCGGAGTGGTTGCGGCTTGCTAGGAACGGAGACATCATAATGTTTCCACCGCAAGTCTTCTTGCTTTCTTTCGTCGCACAATTCCTCGATAGGCCAGGCGAATTTCCGTCCACGATTTCTAAGGATGAGTCTACCAAACGCCGGTCTGAATTGGTCAAATTTGTGCATTCGGGATCCCCCCCTTGGACAGATAAGTTTATCTCACCACTCCAAATCGGGCAGGTTGCTGATGGACGGAATATTCTTGCATTGGATTATGTTGGACCCGAGCTTCAAGGGTCAGATAAAAAAGGGGAACCGGACAGGGTAGCACTGGTTCGATTTCTGAAAGAGGGCCCCAGAGAGGTGGAAATTCGGTGGAAGAATGAAGTTGAACCTGTCAAGAAGGCGAAGAGTGCTCTCTAAGTGGCTATCGTGTTTTCTGACAAAGATACTAGACAGTTGATAAATAGAACCTATATGTACACAAGCTTGTTAGAGTAGCAATATAAGAAATATTTCAGTTAAATATAATTTACCATCAACGTCAATCATTTTAGAGTCCCCAGCGATAGAGTTAAGTCATTTCGCGGTTAAATACCACGCACCGGCGTTATACTCACGACCCACACCGAAACCGAAAAAGTTCAAATCCGAGTCACATGACGCACAATTCTTCGCTTTACGCTCGCATCAACCACCACTCAACGCCGGAAATCACCAGACCTCAACGGCCAAGGCACAAACAATCCCCCCCTCAATACCGTTATTCCCCCGGACATCTACACATCCGCAAAAATGGAGAACGAGAAGGGAAAAATCGTCGACCTGTATGTGTACCACCCTTAAATCCCCCACTTCTCCCACCTAGGAAACAAAAGCCATCAGCCTCACGAATCAAAAGTTTCATCCGCGCGAGAAACAGGAGGTTTCCGAGGGATTCCACTTATCTTTCGTGCCATAGTAATCCTGAATCAAGTTACCTTACCCATTCTCTAACTTGAAAATTATTCAAATATCCATTTAGCTACGTGCCTCGCAAATGCAGTGCCACCAACCGCATCATCAAGGCCAAGGACCACGCCTCCGTCCAAATCAGCATTGCCAAAGTTGACGAGAATGGCCGATACACCGGCGAGAACCAAGTATATGCCCTCTGCGGATTCGTACGTGCCCGGGGAGAGAGCGACGACAGCTTGAACCGACTGGCGCAACGGGACGGGTTTTTGAAGAATGTGTGGAGCGCGGCTTCTCAGCGCTAAGGAGAGCAGAGAAGGGTGTTGATTTTCCTTTTTTCTTCTTCTTTATTTTCCATGCGCGGGTTTTCGTGGGAGGGTTGTGGGATAGGGATGTTGTCATGGTGAGTGATCTCAGTCTTGATTTTCATGGTTGGTAAATTGAATGATTGGAACTTTCACTAACAACGCATCTCTGGGATAGATAACCATAAAATGAGCAAAAAATTAAAACACCTGGGAATATACTGGAGTTTTCTTCCGAGGTTCTTAAATAAAGACCTTTTTTCCTTGTCCTATAATTCCTCCCTCTTCCTATCAGCATGAAAATTGAATCCCTCTGTTATGTCGACGAATCCGAAATGCCAATATGAACTGTTCCATTTACCTGATCCAAAGGAGGAACATGAATGTCTCTCCTTCAAACTTGCTTTCATTTTGTTACAGTGCGATTTCATATGTCTCCTAGCTCCTTGATAGACAAAGGGCTCCGAAAAACCCATTCTATGATATTACCTATATCCACGACAACCGAATCAACACTCTGTCCCATTCCAATCTATCCATATCTCCAACTCTCCATTTCTACCTCTTCCAGTTTTCTTCCTTAAGTTCCCAACCCGGCACCAGAAACCGACTCACGCCCACCGCAAAAATCTACTCTCCCCCCCGGGATCGTGTGATTTACGTGGTGAATGACTGAGGCGGGATACAATGTATTGCATTTTGGCCGGGGAGATCATTTATTTCTTGTATATACCCGTCTGCTGAAGAGCTGCGATGCTCAAGACCACTCGTCGGAGCACAGATACGGGCGGGACATTTTCTTTTTTCGATAGCTTAGATGTGTAACCACCTATAGGGTGTGGTAGGTAATGCTGCCCTGCTAGATGTGAGAACCTGCGTACTTCGTAAAGATTCCATTACTTTGATTCCCTTTTGCATGTCACCTTTCAAGGCATTGGCTGCAGTTGCCTTACCCTGATGTCCAAGTTTCCTGGCTGCTTTAGGAGCTTTATACCACTGTAGTAGAGTTTATGCCTTTATGATTTTGCATGTATATCCCGACCGACTCTATTTTGTTTAAATCTATATGAGGAAGAAAAGTGAAGGTGAGGGTGTCAGTTGCAGATACGATGAGAAGAACATCAATCTCCTAAATTTCGTATGTCTACGTCTTCTATTCCATATCCCATCACCGCAATTGCTTCACCAAAACACTTCAACGGTAAACACCCATATCTTGGTCTTCCTTTATAATCTAGGTCCAATCCTCCAATGGTGCGTAAACATTTTGCGGAAAGGTATAAGAAATGAGTGATCATAAGTAGGAAAATGGAATACTTTGAAAGAAGCAGGTATCTAATCCTTCTCGAGCCGGACGGCTGGGTTCGTTTCGATGAAGTTGAGATCTACCTTATGACCAAGGAGTTCCCGGATATTGCTTACGCCGTACCTAGAAAAAGGAAAAGAATTAGCTTCAAGCGGCTCGGTTTGATCCCACAAGCAGATGCCACTGGGATATCCTGGGCAGAGGTATTAAAAAGAGAGACATGTCAGACATACTTGATCATTGTAGGTCGTTCCAAGCTTAAACCCCATCCGTACACTCTCATATCTTTCGGCAGACCCATAGGCTCCAACATCTCTGGTCTGAACATCCCGCTGTTACCAATCTCCACCCACTTCCCTAAACCTTCATGGTATCCGAAAATTTCCATACTAGGTTCTGTGTAAGGATTATAAGCCGGTTTGAACCTAAGTCCATGGATGCCCATCTTCGCAAAAAAAACTTCCATGAAGCCAATTAAACCGCCCAGTGCAAGACCAAAATCAACAATCACGCCCTCAACCTGGTGGAACTCTGCTAGATGGGTAGCGTCGACCGCCTCGTTGCGGAACACCCGGTCAATACTGAAATATCGGGCCGGACGAGGGTTTGCGGCCAGTTTGTAGAGCATATATGCCGATACGGAGGTGGTGTGTGTCCGAAGCACCAGGCGGAGAGCCTCATCTGGATTCCATGGGTATCTGTAACCGATTGATCCGTATTTACCAGACTCATGTACGGCGCGGACGTTGTTCCAGTATTCCTCATGGTCAGGGAGATTAACGTTGGAGTTTGAAGATCCGCCAGTCGCCTTTGCCACTTTTGCAACGTGAATGTCTGAAGGGTCATCTTCCCGTGGCTTGTCTGCACTGGCAGGGTCTGAGATATAAAAGGTATCTTGAAGATCACGGGCAGGGTGTTGCTGTGGGACGTAAAGAGCATCGAAGTTCCAGAATCCGGTCTCAACGAAGCGATTTGAAGGCATCTCCTCAAAACCCATTTCGAAGAAGATCTGTCTAAATTCCTGTCGCACTTTATTCAGAGGATGCAAAGCGCCGCTCGGGGTTACAGCGCCCTTGGCATTGAAATTGTAGGGCTTAAATTTGGCCGTTCTCCACGCTCCAGTCGCAAGCATATCAGCTGTGAGGTCAGTTTCCTCTTTTGCAATCTCTCTCGCATATTTCTGGCCCTTCGATATCTTGAAACTTATAACCTTGTGTATTGTGATAAGTTTCCTTTTTCGCAGGTCTGCTATGACGTTGGGGTCGGGGTATGTTTTCGTTTTCTGTATGATCAACAGTTGCTCCTGAGTAGTATCTTCAATTGAATCCATTGCTGATCGCAAAACATCCTTATCTTTCTTGATCCAGCCCTTTTTAAATGCATTTCCAGCGCCTACTTTAGCAGCCTCCTTCCCGACGACATTTGGCAAATCCACAATTTTCAGCCCGCCCAATGCCGCCTGCACGGCTTCGAATACTTTGGCTTCATGACTGCCATTGGCCGCAATCGCTTCAGCTTCAGGTGATAATATTGCTTCTTCTCGTTCAATAGTTTGATACTTGATCATATCTCTGGACCCAAGGCGGTCCAGTGCAGCTTTCACTGATATTCCCGGGGTGGAGGGGAAGGCATCTGCGGAGAGAATTGGCTCGTCAGTAGAAGAAAGGAGATCTAATATTTGCGTTGTCAGGTCAGATTCCATGGCTGCTACAGGAGAAGAGTCCATGAGCGAGATATCCGCCGCAAAACCGTCTTGGTAGGGTTGGAAGGGGGAAAACTGCGTAGACGAATATTTGGGCGGGGCGATTATTTTTTGGGAAATTATGACTCGTTCTGATGTCCCCTTTGATAACGGTGCTTGTTGCCATAAGTTTGCACATTTTGTTACATAAAAAGCGAAGTACACTAGTCCCAGAGTAGTTTAACCCGGTCATAGTTTATTTTCTCACTAGCCCTAATAATTCTTCTTTCCACTCAAAATTGTTCCCCTGCTGCCTTAACTGCTGCCACACAACTCTGGCATGTACCCAGAAAGATCATAGAGAAGACACTCTTCTATTATTGAACTCCAGGTGCCTCTTTCGCTGTCTTTTATTATAAGTAACTCCAGTCTCCACACTGTATAATGATAAGATTGAACGGGATGAAAAAACTCTCATGCTCTACTACTGGCAGCCAAACTACTCTTGGGCTAGCGTACTTGCGCTCTTTATGAAAACAAACAGTGCAAACTTATGGCGGCACTTCAACCCCGATACGGCTGTTGTTTATAACCATATGCGCAGTTTGATACACGTTGATATCGGAGGTTTTATTCCTGCTTTCTTGGACATCGACTGTGAGTACACAAATGAAGTGAAAAGGATGGTGAGTGGATGACAGAATTATAGCATGGATATCTCATAACATGATAAGCAAAAACTCCATTAGGAAAGTCGGATTTACTCCTCTCGACAACTCCGAGCCGGAAACGCATAAACTCAGCATAAACTCCGTGCTTGAACCGAAGTTCCTTTCCATTACTACTCCCATAGGGCAAAGCGGCCACACACACCCGAATTTGACAACTTCGTGGAGACTATCCGACTAGATGAGCTTTGTGCTGTCGCCACTCATTGTCGAGGCGATGTTTCATATAGCCTTAGGTGACACACTATCGAAGATTAATAGACGCTTGAAGGTCATGCCGTAAACTGAAAATTCATGTGTGATTGCTTTTTGGGGTTCAACGTTGTTTACGAGCTGGTTTTTCTCGAACAGTGTTGTTTGGATGGCCCGCATCCCACTTCCGTATACCTGTTTTCAAGCTGAAGAGGTGACGGCGTCGTATGCTGCTACCTTAAAGCATCTGAAGAGACACAGTACCATACCTATTCCAACTATGTTTGCGTACAGCCTTCAGTCAAAACCATGAAATAAAATCAACGTCTGTCATTGTTATGGAGCGGTTCCCAGGCCATGAATTGCCTTTCCTAGAAAGGCTGTTTGAAACATTTCACGTTGGCAGAGAAGGTACACCAGCAGCTATCTGATATTATACTTGAATTAGGTGTGTTTTCTGTTCTTCACTTAACGGCACCTACAGTGCGGATCTGTATGCCCATCGCTTAGCTTCCCTGAAACTCAATAATAAGATTGGATCGCTACGGGAGGGCCCAGAATGGAATTTCGTCATCGGACCGAACATTGACCTGAGCAGCACAGCTACACAGAGGTCAGGGTCAAGGCATATCAATCCCTTAGTTCTACCCCAAGGGCCCCTTTTCCTCTGTCCAAGAATGGTATGAGGCCATGGCGCAGTTGAACCGCAAAGATTCCTTGGGCGATCTCTAAAACGAGGAAGGTGGAGATGAGAGAGTAGCAGATTACGAGATTGTCACCAGCTTTTCCGACAAGGTTATGCTAAAGAGTTTAAAAAGGACCGTTTCTTAATACCCATAACAATCTAACAATTCAAAATATCTTGGGAAGGATCTTGCCTGCCCCCCCCTCCCATGCTACAAACAAAACAGCGGTTGAAGCTTTGCCAGATTGACGATGAGTCCAACATGACCGGTATTCTTGATTCCTTCTGAATTGTTGTGCCCTTGCCGTCACTGCATCTACCCTTGGATGTTTAGCGACAATGTTTCTGGACTGATCACGGAGCGCGACGCGTATCTGAATGTGTTTCCCAAAAGAGAGTGTCGTTATCCTTCATCCCCTCTGCAATCATGCGAAATTCGAGAATATTTTAATGCGATCTGCTCAAAGCCGGCAGCAGTTTGGGCTTGACCTGCTTGGCCTGCTTGGCCATACACGTCGCTCGTTCTTCTGCAGTTGTTTCGGGAGCTAGAGGGACGCCAGGTTGGTTTAGATGTTTGAGCGACAGAAGATTGCAGATTCACTAGATTGGTTATGGACCTAAGGGTCTCTACTCCTGGCAGAACCCTCCGTCCTCCTGGGGCATTGCTGAACCACTTTCACCTTTTCTAATGTTATCTAAGCTCTGGTTACTTTATTACTCCTTTAGGAAATAGAACCGTCGCCCTTATTGTTAGACACTTCTATGAAAATAAACTTGTTTCAATGACAGTAATGAATCAATTTCTCTAGAAAAGAGCTTGAAAGCACCATGACCTGCTAAGAAATCACAAGAAGGCGACTCCAGCAGACAATTGCCTTCTCCCCTCCCACAAAATGTATTATCATGTTATATCTTGCACATCTAAACTCAATCTGAATTGGGGAATATCGTGGATGGGTGGGGTGGCAAGTCAATAGAGGCATTTGAGGGCCTGATTCAACATCATACATGTCGAAAGATCACCGGAGTGACGGGATTTGGACGGTTTGTCTGATGTTCAGGGGCGGGGAAAGTAGTCACGGTGAGTTGTACCTTTCTAACCTACTGGCCATCAACTGGGACCTCTTCTAAATTGGGTGGTGCTGTTCACTATAAACTTGCCTCGTCACTTTAAAGAGCGTTATTGGAGTGGGATGATGCAATCTGGATACAGTTTGTACTCCACAAATGCACATCCTACGAGCAAGTTTCCCAATCTGTCATGAGGAACAGCAGCCCACAATACCTTTTAGAACAACTCCAACTTTGTGCCCCAATTTGAGCTTTACGCTATTATGTAGTTTCTATCAAAAATCTTCATTATATCGGTTGGTTCAGGGTGAATGGGACTGGCTCTATTGACGCGAATTGCTGGATGGAGGACGGCATGACCTTTAAGTTTATCCCGATTTCGACCAGATCATACCAACCCAGACACAATTTTTATTCCGAGATTCTGTCTAGAACAAGTCCAGGCATAGTCATGGCTTGTTCTGGTGCAATAATCACTTTCAATTTCAGCATCAAGTTGAATTCCACATATTTAGTTCTTGGCATGCGGGGCGGTGAGATGTTGGAGGTGAGTAGTTCACGAACCGCCTGATCCGATCTTGTAGATTGTCGGTCCATCCCAGGCCTCCGTAGAATGGGGACATCCCTCGAATATGGTTATTCAACCGTTCTGGGGGATAGCTGGAAGAAGCGGGGGATATCAATAGATCCCCTTTGTTAAAAGAGCCCATATGATCCGCTAGCAATTGAAGGCAAACCGGCCAGTAATATTTGCGCACAGGTAACTAGTTATATAGTTATTGTGGGGGAGACGTCAGTTGTAAGATCATTGGACCCGACATCCGTTTCAGCTATTGCGATCTTCAACTCCCCGACACTTGTACCCAAGAAAGATATGAGATACATGTGAGATCTACGTCAACCATCCGACTCTTACCCTAGCTGCCCAGTGTGTGTCACTTCACGTTTCATCCTGATGTTCATCGCTGGACGATCACCTACGACAACACCGCAATACCTGACACCAGCAGCATCGGGTTTCCAGTTCATTCACCCGTAACCCAACTATCATTTCAGCTCGAGAGATGTCAGATCTTGAACCTGAATTAGCTACAGAAATCCAGATTTCCCAACCAGCCAATCATGAACTTCTGGCTAAAAAAAAAAAAAGGAAGAAGCCCTTTTCAGTTTCATCAATCCATTACATTCAGACTTAAGCTTGAAGTCAATAGTTGACGGGGTTCTATCAAAGTGATCTCTGAATCCTTGAGTAAATAAGATTACGCAGTATTAACAGAATATTTACCGGTGCGGTATGTAATAATGGCCCATACCATCAACATACCAAGGCACAGTACATGCAGTCCCAAGCGCCATTGGGCACCAGAATACAGACATTCTGCATACATGGTTACCTGCGCCTTTTCCAATATTCTCAGGAAGCGCGGGAAGCAGCGTGGACACCACTCGCTGATAATTAGCATGTGGGTGTATTTATGCAAATCAAATGTGGAGGAGAAAAACAAATATTCTCCAGACGGGAAAACTGCATTTTCAAAGTTCACGTGAACTTTTACACATTGGCTATCAATGCCGCAAGTGCTGTGGGAAGATACTTTGCAGTTTTTGCTGCCAACAGTGCCCGGTTAAGGAACAATGGACTGATGGAAGTATTAGGAGTGGAGTGTTTTTTATCCCCAATCCGCTGCTTGGGAGTTCTAAAAACAACAAAAATGGGCCAATCGAAATCTAAAGAAGTTCGGACGATGGGTTTGAAGCGGGCCCATATGCTGCCCCTCCATCGCGTCACGTGGAGGAATGACCTCCAGGGCATCCTGAACTCGACTTTTGGTCGATGTGCGAGACCGTGACACAGTGTGGTGACAAAGAGGGGATGTGAGCGTGAGATTGCCATTACCAAAGGAATATTATATGATATGTGCTCAAATATTTGCAGACCGTAGTAATGTCTTTATCCTCATTGTCACTGCCTGTTGACGTGCAAGAGAAAGAAAGCATTGTTCACTGGATATTTTGAGGTGGATTGATAACTATGGCTCATAAGGGATTATCAAATGCGAAGATAAAAACTTTACCGCAACCATGGATCGAGCCTGGAAGGGATAATATCATCCCTAACCATGGTGCGCAGCTCAAGAATGGATTCGACCTTCGGTAGTAGTGAGAGGATGAATTAGTTTCGGGGACGACTGGAAATTAAGTTGGAGAAAAGGCATTAAAAGGACGATAAAAGGGATTGAATTTCATCTGGACGCGGTCGTGTTAAATAGAATACTGCCCTTTCTCATCGGCATAGTTCCATCAGGTAAATAGAAAGAAAAGGGAGCGGATTTCAATAAATGTAGCTAAGACCAGTTATTGTCGAACTAACCTTGAAAGCCTTGTATAAGATAATATGGTTGAGAGCTCCAGGTATTCTCATTCTGCAATCAACGCCCGAAGTATCAAGACATATAGGCACTGTGATTAGGTATATACCTTGAAATATCCAAACAATTATACGAGGGTTCGTTGATGACCATCCATGCTTGGACACCATTTAACAAGATCAACGCATTATGGTGTGCGTAAGATTTTAAGATACTGCATCTCCCTGACAAATGCTTGTCGACACACTCCCCATACGTCGATGAGAAAAACCATAATAGATGGCTGTGGACCAAGAGCAAAAAAGAAAATGTTAAAGCCGCCGCCCAACTCCAATGTCCGACCTAAATATCAGTTTATCATGCGAGATATGGGGCAAGGTAAGGCAAGGCAAGGCGTTCGATCTTCTTCTGACTTTCCCAACCCCCAAAATTCAACTAGAGCAGCCCTCCCCGAAATTCAAGCTAGGTTGTCGCCGGGATACCCTTTGCCCTTTTCTGTGGGAGGGTAGGGCTATATAGTAGTAGATATAGTAGTCGACTGAGATAAAATATAGATAGGTAGATACCCGTATTCCGCACATACAAGAACAACATGCACATAGTTCATGATAATCCTCCCCCCCTCCCTTCTTTTTATCCCTGAAAGATAAAAAAAAAAAAAAAATGAAACGGCATTAGCCAAGTCTTTTGCATGTGCAGGACTTTGGCTCCCTCACAAGACAAGCAATGCTTGGTCTGTACCTAGGCACTCCGACAATAGGTTACAGTTGAACATGGTTTAATAATAATGGTGCTCACTTTCTTAAAACCATGATCAACTCTGGCCACCTCATCTAACATAAACACAGTCTACACACTGTGCACATACATCACAAATACATCTCTATTCAACCTCCGCCCTCAACAGGGTAAGGGATAAGTTAGGATTAGGATTAGGGTCAGTTAAGGATAAGGGTCTGAGAAATATGATAAAATCCGCTACCGAAAGCAAATAGAGATGTGTATGAGATATACGAGATATGTGTGAGGTATGACCAGTTGTATGCATTTTTGATGAAGGGGTGTCTATGGTTTTTCGCATAAACAACAACGCCGAAGGTTTTTCCGACCGAGATCTTAAACTGCGTTCAACTCTTATGAATTACCAGACTGTATATATATATATATATATATATATATGTATATGTATTCCGCAGCATTTTACCGCTGCTGGTTCCTGAGGAGGTTCGTATTCTTGAGATATTGGTGTTTGATGTACGGCGCATGGACGGAGTATTGCGTAGAAAAATGGAGGGTGGTTTTCGGTGTGAGGATATTGATCGTTTTGGCTACGGAGCCCGGTGTGCATCCCCTACCAAGGTAGATGTGCCTAGTGCCAACCTTTTCTGCCCAGCGGCAACGAACTACACCGAAAATGACGGCTGTGTGGGCCTCTGACAATTTTGCCGGAAATCGACTGCCACCCAGTAATAAACATGATGTCGTGTATGATGTATGCTGGACAGTTGTACGGAAGACTCGATGGGTAACCAATTTGTTAGATAAAATTCAATTAATTCACCGGACCATCTCCTCGGAAGAAACAGCCAATACCAACCAAAAAGCCAATGTTGAAATGGAATAATTCGTGCTCGCCCAATGAGCGTCAAGGTGTTCATTTCTTTTTTCCCTTCTTCTTTTTTTTTTTTTTTTTTTTTTTTCCTCACCCCAGCACCCAAGCAGTGGCACATTTTCATTCTTCCACGGTGGGCCGCTGGCGTACACTCGTGGCGGACTCGTCAAGATCTGCTCAGACGGCGTCCCGTGCTAACCCAGCCTAGTCTGCTCATAGCGTGGCAGAATTCTTGTCGTTGTATGCGTGTACTCTGTATGTAAATATGTGATGAATACCTAATACCTCTCTGGTTTGGTATGTATCCCGTGTGTCACTTTTATTGACCATCTGTCGCCCTCTCGTTGCTTCAAGGGTCCCAGCAGACAGACACCGGCTAGGCCAGCCAGTAGTCGGTTCAGTCAAGTCATTTAGTGAGCATATCCTCTCCGTTTTGCTAGAACAAACCAAACCCCGTTTCTTCAGGAGCCTCGCCCATAAGGGAGCAGCAGCCTTCGTTCCCTCCAACGTCCTCCATCAAAACCTCTGTTCACCTCCATCCGTCGCCATCTCATATCTCGCCTATTCTTCTCCCTAACGATACTATATACGTCTACTCTCCCTCACTTCTCCTGGGGTCTTCTTTGTAAGCGATACAGAGGAACATTCTGCAAATTCCTGCTGCCTCATGACGGTTTAGCAGTGGTGCTCGTTTGTCGAAGAGCACCCGACGCTCCAGGTTGGTATTAACCCACACAGCAAGGATATCATCCACTTACCCTACCCACCAGTATTACCACCACCTAATGTCGTCTGTTTAGATGACGATACTCTCCCCTTATTTACGTGCTCCCTAGGATCTTTGGTTATGTCGGTTTAGCTAATAGTCTCCTTTCTTGGGTGTTTTCGTTATTGTAGGTCAACATGACTCGCGGTGATGAAACACTCCTCGCCGTGGCTGGCATATTACAGGGCCTGGCGAAGGATGTCCCGAATTCCGCATCTTTTCCCTTTGGCGGCTACAAGGCAAATAACTCTACCAACGGCGATGTGACGAAGATAAAGCTACCAGGCGAGGAGAGTGATGGAAAAGCTGTTTTGGAACATGAGTTAGAAGACCTAATCCGGAGGATAGTGACCATGCAATCTTTCGTGGTTAGTTGCCTTGGAATTTTCCTTTTTTGCTTTTTACTACACCCTTCTATTTTATTCCGATATTGTCCATCTAGGTCCCACCGTGTTTTGTAATATTGGGGAAATCCTCCTTAGCGGGTTTTGCTTGCGCTGAATGGAAACGTTTGATTTTAACATGCTTGTTAAATATTTATAGCCTCCATCTCGACGATCTACTCGCGCCCCAAACTTTGCCAGCGGACAACACAGTGACCTCGAAGGGTCTTCCAAATCCCTGCCGGAGTCTGACACAAACTACAAAGAGGATATACATTTCTTACTAAACAGAGTTCAGCTCCAAGCACAAGAAATACAACTACAGAAAGATGTGATCTCTAAAGTTCGCGAGGAACTCAGGAACCAGGAGAAGCGCACTGAGGAAGCTCTGGGGAGGGTGAAAATTGATGATGTTAGCATATTAGAGCGCGAGTTGCGAAAACACCAACAGGCCAACGAGGCCTTCCAAAAAGCATTACGAGAAATTGGTGGGATTATCACGCAAGTCGCAAATGGAGACTTGTCTATGAAAGTACAGATACATCCGTTGGAAATGGACCCCGAAATCACAACCTTCAAACGCACCATCAATACTATGATGGATCAACTCCAGGTTTTCGGAAGTGAAGTGTCCCGGGTGGCTCGAGAGGTCGGAACTGAAGGTATTCTTGGTGGACAAGCCCAGATCAGTGGAGTTCATGGTATCTGGAAGGAACTTACCGAAAACGTGAACATCATGGCAAAGAACCTTACGGATCAGGTGCGAGAAATCGCAACTGTTACGACTGCCGTTGCTCACGGTGACCTCAGCCAGAAGATTGAAAGTCAGGCCAAGGGAGAAATCTTAGAGCTCCAACAAACCATCAACACCATGGTGGATCAACTTCGTACTTTTGCTATTGAAGTAAACCGGGTCGCCAAAGACGTGGGTATTGAAGGCGTGCTTGGAGGACAAGCTCAGATAGATGGAGTCCAAGGAAAGTGGAATGAACTTACAGTTAATGTTAATGCCATGGCCGAAAACCTAACAACTCAAGTTCGCGATATTGCAATGGTAACGACTGCAGTCGCCAAGGGCGATCTTACACAGAAAGTCCAGGCCAATTGCAAGGGTGAAATCCTTGCTTTGAAAACTATCATAAATTCCATGGTTGACCAATTGAAGCAATTCGCACAGGAGGTCACGAAAATTGCCAAAGAGGTCGGAACGGATGGTGTTCTTGGTGGTCAGGCCACTGTTCATGATGTCGAGGGAACATGGAAGGATCTGACTGAAAATGTGAACGGCATGGCTATGAATCTTACTACTCAGGTCCGAGAGATTGCTGATGTCACCACCGCTGTCGCCAAAGGTGACTTGACCAAGAAAGTCACTGCAGATGTGAAAGGAGAGATCCTGGATTTGAAGAATACTATCAACGGAATGGTGGATAGGCTGAACACATTTGCATTTGAGGTCAGCAAAGTTGCGAGAGAAGTTGGCACAGATGGAACACTTGGTGGCCAGGCCAAGGTCGATAATGTGGAGGGTAAATGGAAGGATCTGACCGACAACGTCAACACCATGGCTCAAAATTTGACCTCCCAGGTGCGAGGGATATCTGACGTCACGCAGGCTATCGCCAAGGGAGAACTTTCTAAGAAAATTGAGGTTCATGCTCAAGGCGAGATACTCACATTGAAAGTGACGATCAATAACATGGTGGATCGTCTTGCCAACTTCGCGCATGAGCTCAAACGAGTGGCGCGTGATGTTGGAGTCGATGGAAAGATGGGTGGGCAAGCCAATGTTGAAGGAATCTCTGGTAGATGGAAGGAGATCACTGAAGACGTCAATACCATGGCTGAGAACTTGACATCCCAAGTGCGCGCTTTTGGAGAAATTACAGATGCAGCCACTGATGGTGATTTCACCAAATTAATCACCGTGAATGCTTCTGGTGAGATGGATGAGCTCAAGCGGAAGATCAATAAGATGGTTTCAAATCTCAGAGATAGCATTCAGCGAAACACCGCTGCCAGAGAAGCGGCAGAACTTGCCAACCGAACGAAATCTGAATTCCTTGCAAATATGAGTCACGAAATCCGAACCCCGATGAATGGCATCATAGGCATGACCCAGCTCACGTTAGATACTGACGATCTTAAGCCATATCCTCGAGAAATGTTGAACGTGGTGCACAGTCTGGCCAACAGCTTACTAACCATCATTGACGACATACTCGATATTTCGAAGATTGAAGCGAACCGCATGGTTATTGAAAAGATTCCATTCAGCATGAGAGGTGCGGTATTCAATGCACTCAAGACGTTAGCTGTGAAGGCAAACGAGAAAATCCTGAACCTGATATACCAAGTGGACAGCTCTATTCCAGACTTTGTTACTGGCGATCCATTCAGATTACGACAAATTATACTGAACTTGGTTGGCAATGCTATCAAATTTACTGAACGTGGAGAGGTCAGGGTCACGATCCTCAAGTCCGACAGAGAGGAATGTAGACCGAATGAATATTCTTTCGAATTCATTGTTTCAGATACTGGAATTGGTATCGAGGAGGACAAACTGGATCTGATTTTTGACACTTTCCAACAAGCTGACGGGTCGACTACGAGGAAATTCGGCGGAACCGGCCTGGGATTATCGATCTCTAAGCGATTAGTTAACCTCATGGGCGGTGATGTTTGGGTTACCTCTGAATTTGGCCAGGGAAGCAAATTCCATTTCACTTGCGTTGTGGAAATGGCAGATCAAGACGTCAGCAACATTGCCGCATCACTTTTGCCCTACAAAAATCACCGCGTTCTGTTCATTGACAGAGGCGAAACCGGCGGTTACGCAAAGGAAATCACTAATATGCTGAAGCAGCTTGACTTGGATCCCATTGTCGTCACTAACGAATCGCAGATTCCTCCACCTGAGATCCAGGATTCCTCGGGCAAGGATTCGGGACATGCATACGATGTTATCATCGTTGACTCGGTCAACACTGCAAAGTCTCTACGCACCTATGATGAATTTAAATACATACCGATTGTTTTATTATGTCCCGTCGTTTCCGTTAACCTGAAATCAGCACTGGATTTGGGTATAACATCCTACATGACGACGCCATGTCTGCCTGTCGATTTAGGTAACGGCATGATACCTGCCCTCGAGGGGCGTTCCACACCCATTACCACGGACCATACAAGGTCTTTCGATATCCTTTTGGCCGAAGACAATGACGTAAATCAGCGAGTTGCAGTCAAGATACTAGAGAAATGCAACCATGATGTTACCGTTGTCAGCAACGGCCTCCAGGCACTGGAAGCAATCAAGCAACGTCGATTTGACGTTATTCTAATGGACGTCCAGATGCCCGTCATGGGCGGATTCGAAGCCACCGGCAAGATTCGCGAATACGAGAGAGAGCACGGACTGCCACGGACACCCATCATCGCCCTAACCGCGCATGCAATGCTTGGCGATCGAGAAAAATGCATCCAGGCCCAGATGGACGAATACCTAGCTAAACCCCTGAAGCATAACCAAATGGTTCAAATGATCCTCAAGTGCGTGACGCTTGGTGACTCCCTGTTGGATAAGAGCAATGAACCGCCAGCGTTGGGCGGTGGCGATGACACGCACCATCTCACTAGTAACACCTTGGTGCAATCGTCGGAAGCGAAGAATCAACGACTGGCCATGGACAGTAGAGTTATGGCGGCTTTGGGTTCGTCTGGTGCTAATCCCGGCTTGAATCGGAAACCTGACATGGTGAGTATAGTTCGCTTCCCCTGTGATCAACTAATTCCCTTTTGCTATTTGCTAATAATCAAAATAAGCATACCCTCCGGTCACACAGAAGATAGTCATAGTTTATCCCTCCTGTTTGAACGCTCTGGAGCAGCGTCACCCTTGGCTCTCGAATAGTGAAATTTCCCCCTTTTTTGCTGTTATGTTATGGCGATTTCTTTCTTTTGAAAACTCTTTCTTCTTTTCTTTTTTCTTTTTTTTTTTTTTTTTTGGGGGGGGGGGGGGGGGGATGGGGCTGGTGTAAGACGGCGGGTTATGATTTCTGCATATATTTCGCTCCAATTAATTTTCCTTGGTAATTCTCTCGTCTTTGTATGTTTTTTGATTTGATTTGCCTTTCTCACATTTGCATCTCACCTGATCTCGTTTCTTCCTCTTCTTTTCTCAATCTACCGTTCCCAGCATCGTTGATATCCTCCCCAATTTCTCTCTTTCCCATTTCCTTTCCCGTACACTACACATCCTGTTTTCCCGCATTTTCAATTAACACGACTTTCAAACTCTTATATTTATCTCCTGTTTTAAAACTTTTATGGCGTATGGCGTGGCTGCGAGTTTGGTGGATTAAAACATACCCAAATATTCTCGTCCTTGGGGAAACCTAGACGACCTGATCTAGTGGATAGTTACACAATGATCTCATATATTTTGTCTTCGATTATGTTTCTAAATCATTCTCGATTCCATCCTCGTTCATCTTGATTTTGTGTGTATAGGTGATTTATGTTTGCATTTTTGGTCCTGAGAGGGGGAAACGAAGTAGTAACGTTTATCTCAATGTTTCTCCACCTTTTTACTTTTTTCTATAAATATTGATTTCATTTTGATATATTTCTCTCTGTTTATCTCGCATTTCCTCACTCTGCTCTCTCTCGCCGCATCTCTCTCACGTAATTCACGATGTGGGTCGGCTTTCAGGTATGTTAACTACCCATTTCTGCTACGGGTTTTGCATGAAACCAAAAAACAATTTGATGGCTGTTTTCTTTCTTCATTTCAATCCCCCCCCTCCACCCCCAAATCTGTAATTTGGTACCGCAATTGCTGTTTATTGATAACTTGCTTTTACGCTTTTTTGAATTGCATTCATTCTGTTTAACCCGCAACAAAAATAACTGTATTTCAGTTTCATACCCACCTTTTGAGATTTATGATGAACTATAACGATGACGAGGAACGGATGGGTGGATGGATGGTATTAGTTATATGCGCTGCTTGAGATATGGCAAAGGGGGAACTCGGTAGTTTAGATGTGGCATGTATCTCTATCTGTGTCATGGAGTTATCGGTTGAGGCTATCTGGGCTGGCTGTTTCAACATCTCACCTACACTGCAGAACGACTTTGAGCGGAATGGTATCTGCCCCCCCCCCCCCTTTTTTTTTTTTTTTACTATCTTTTTTCTTTTTTTCTTCTTCAAGTGGAGAAAGAAATGCGGTGGAAATATTTCTAGGCTGTTATGTAGGTGGCTGGCATCCGTGCATTTTGTGTGTTGCTGTTGGTAATAGGGCGTCCGGCGGTGCAGAGGATGATGGCATTGCCTCCTCCATTTGACGTCGATGCCTTGTCAGTGTTGCTGACTAGGTAATCTAGCTTGGCCCCCTGTTCTCTCACTGACCAATTTGGCGGCCACAGCTACACCCACAGCTACACTTGAGGGAGATACCACATCAAGCTGAATCAGAGTCATGTTGGGGTGGTTAGCGCTCAAGACCCGACATCCTTTCCAGCAAGCAGCAAAGACATGTAGGCCGCTCTCAAAAGGCGCTGCTACTTTCTTCACTGCAGCCAGTAGTAACCACAGTTGGGAATGTAATTTTATCCGATTGAGCCATGATGATGATGATGATGATGATGATGATGATGATGATGATGATGATGATGATGATGATGGGTCTCTGTCATCAATTCAAAGGCTGAAGGCAAGATCAGACTGTAGTTAGTTACATGACAAGAGCCTCAGTTGATATGGTTCCACTTTTTGGCCTTTGAGGGTCTTTCGCACGCATGTTGTGGATATCAAATAAACCAATCCCAGATCGCAGGGGACAACAGCTCCCTGTCAGTTAAAACTCCCCTATGCACTCTGAACAAGTGACGTAGCGCATTTCACAACAGGCGGTTTAAGATCAAAATACCGGGTCGCAAATGCATAACGCAAGCGTCTGTTTCTGATCAAAGTGGGAGCTACCAGGGTACAGTCGGTTTTTGTAGTGCCCGTGAAGGATCCTTACTCTGTGTGCCGTGGAAGAGGAAGACATCGTTGTTGTGTGGCATCTGCTGTCCCTGAGAGTCGGTAACTAAGACAACTTGCTGTTAGCGGAGCCAGGGCCCAATGGGGTTTTCTGCTGGTTAACAGCATTTTCGAGTCATAAGTGGCCCAACTTGTCAACTATTTAACATCAGCATCAGCGCCACGGAGAGTGCAGGGCCCCGGGGCTCGGGGGAGGGGACTGAAGCTGTGTCTTCGCACATTGCAACTGTTCCAACTGGTCGGAGCAACAAAGGAAGGGTGAATCAGTGTCTCACTGCGTTTCCTCCATACTTCCAGTCAAAAAAGCCGATTATTCTTCTGCCTGGCGTTTCGCACTTCTGGGAGATATATTTAGCAGTGGGTAGTGACTGAATCCAGCCATTTTGGGTTTCAGAAAAGCGGATCGCCAATCAGCGCTTTATGGACACTTCGGCTGCAGCAACCCTAGGAGGTCATCATGAAACAGCCCCCTGGGGTCTCCATAAACATCCCGACTTCATGTCGCCTGAAGCATATATACACACAATCTGGTTAGTAACCGACCCCCTGGCTGAGAGTCTGGAGACTTTGGCGTTAAGGTTCAACGGGTCAGGAACACATCAGATCAGAGTTTGTATTCCCCAGGTTTATAATTAGACACGTAACTCTAAACTTCCATAACTCAGATATTTGTTGTGGCTTCATTCCTTCTTGTCTTGAGGAAAGTAAAGATGCATAATGAACTATTTATCGTCTTTCGCTAACTGACTTTGTTCATGCCGCTCTGGCTCTGCTTGCTGTCCATTCTATATAAGCTACCCGTCGGCCTCGATTGCTGGGCACACATATATGTCAGATCCTCCTCCTGTGCAACGTATATATATATATGACCTTTTCAACCTTGCAACTCCTCACATTTTAGATTGATCAAAATTGAACCCAAATGTTGGATCTTCTTAAATCCCTCCTGGGTTTCGCCAAAAAAATCCCAGCGCCCGCCCCGGGACTCAAAAGGGAACAGGAATGCTATTTCCTTACTCGCCTACCCCCGGAAATCCGCATACAGATCTACAAATGCTTATTCGACCGCGACACAATCCATCTCCTCCACAACAAGGAACAAATCAGTCACATCCGCACGCCCGAACGGGGCAGAACGAGATTCATGTACGCTCCGTACTCCGTACGAAAACCAGAAATCTCCAGCATCCTCTTAACATGTCGCCAAATCCACAGAGAAGCTGCTCCTCTGTTCTACTCCAGACCCATATTCCGGGTTTCGCTGCAAGAGACATGGAACGTATTCGCCAAGCTCATCGGGCCGGAGAACCTGTCGAATGTGCGATCCCTGCAGGCTCCCGCTAACCTGCAGGTGCAGAGTTTGGCCGGGCCCTCTTGTGTCAATAGCCAGCCGAGAACTGGATCGATGGCATGGACATCTGCTTCGGCGGGCGGCAGTTACAAGGAGGACGAGAGAAAAGTCCACGATGAATTCTGCGAAGTGTTGACCTCTAAGATGCGGGGTCTCAAAGATTTGATGCTCGTTTTGGTGTCGCTGCCTGAGGGGCTTTCGCGGTCGTTGGAGGCAGAGTGGCACGCTCCCTTCCAGAGAATGAGAGGCCTTCAGATGTTTTCGCTTGAGATCCGGAATGAAAGGGATGCAGAGGCTGAGGATACCAGGGAATTAGTCAGATTTCTGAAGGAGACTGTTTGCGCGCCGAGAGATGATCATTGTTAGTTCGGACAACAGTACTGGGTCATTGAGTGTATGGATCGAAGTTTATTCCGCCGGAGAGCACCTAATAATGAGCGTTTATGCAGCCATGACATTAGCAGAGGCGTCATTTTCTGTCAGTTGCGGGTTTGATATTTTTGTTGTCTCTAAGCTAGAGCTATGACAATAATTAATTCCAATAATCCTAATCTCAATACATATGAGCTAACAAGGAAAGGGTTGACGTTTTCAATTTTGACGTAGAGTTTGATAATTGCATTCATAAGGAGTGATTAAGAGCTGGACAATAGTCAGCTCATGAGAGCTATTCATCTAGATAAGGACTATTTAAGAGATCATCTAATCATAAAGGGCGGGGACATAATAACAACGCTGGCGCTATATAAAATCAGGAATGGCTGGAAATACACAGGGAATTTAAAACTCGCGAAAATGGAAAGCTGAAAAGAGCATGCTGAAGGAGAATCGTTAAGAGATACAAACAGACAATTTTCCCCATTAGGCGAATAAGAAGAGAGAAACTGGAAACAAATCAAAGGATATCTGAATAAAACTCAAAGACTTGTAGAAGAAAGGAGCCGACGGTTCCAAAGATAATCCTCCGACATCGTTCGTGTTCCTGCTTTCGAAAATAAGACCCGTGTCATCCCGTCAAGTAAACGACCGGATACCCGCCTCGTGGTGTTGTGATGTATCCAGTGCTAACAGGGTACTCTGGATATGTTGATTATGAAGTCTCAACAACGGTGACTGTGCTAGTACTGGCTATATTGGTGCTGGTAGGTTAAGATGCGGGAGGCTGGGTGGAAACGGGATGTTCGGTAGAAGTAGGATCCCCTGTGGAATCAGGATGCATGCTAGAAACAGAATGTCCGGAAGGAAGATACCTTCTAGAGGTAGAGGACTTGGAGGTTGTCATAGGAACAACGATAGTTTTAGCGCTTGTTTCGATTTCAGTGTAGATAATTGTTTGGCAATTTTCGCAATCGCTTGTTGGCGACGTTTGAGATTGAACAGAGTCTTCTGATGATGTAGCACCACAGGCATGACTACTCTCGGTGACTGTCATTGAGTGTGTCACAGTAACGGTAGGAGCCGGAGGGCCTTGTGGATCTCCAGAAGTAGATGGAGGATCAGAGGCAGGTAGAGTAGGGGTTGTAGAAGACGGCATTAATGTTGAGGAAACGATGTAGTATGTCGTTGTTTCGCCGATGGACATTGTTAACCATGTGCTATAGTAGGTAGAAACGCCATCGAGAACGACTGGGCTCGAACGTGGAACAAACGATGTTGTCGTTACCGTATCGGTCGTTGTATAAATAACAGTAATGGCAGAGACATTGGTAACATGGAGTGAATAGGTCAAAGCAGGAGGGGTTAGCCCTACGCTGACCGTTGTTTGAGGTGCGACAGAGCTGCTGCTCGTTGGGTATGGAGTAGTCAGAAAACCCCCTGGAAGTGCAAACACGATTTCAGCGAGCGCTGCCGCTAAGAGCGTCACAGAAAGTTTCATGGTGCAAACCCGAACACTTTAGAGAGAATCGTCAAGATGATAGCTAGAATATATAAGCGACTGAGGTAGCCGCACGGCACGAAAACGATAGGCAGACAGCTGAGAACTGAGAGCGAGTGAGTTTGCTCAAATGAATAGATTTGAGAGTATTGTTTTTGAAAAGAAACAGAATTTCTTCAAGAGAGTGTAGAGAGCTGGAGAATTGGAAGGAAAATGAAGGAGAAATGGTCCCTTCTCTAACAACATGTAAATATAAATATATATATATATATATATATGCTGAGACTTGTTTAGAGAACTATCAACCAGCAACACACGTCCGTCCGGGCCTGCCAGCCTCAGGTGACCATCATGACGGAGGATTAACGAGCTGGCATTGGCCAGCTAATCCATATGGTGGGTATCGCATAACCTCAACGACGAGGACCAAAAAGACCAGACTCTTGAAGAATCTCCTTAAGGAGGAGTTTTAGCAGGAAAAGGTGGAAAAATCCCGCTACGAAAGCTCACCAGCCACCGAAAAAAACATTGGCCCGCACATGGTTGCTATGGTAGCTATAAGCTACTGAGAGTTAGGTTTTCTGCAAGCCGGCATACCCATACTCATACTCCATCGTACCAGAGGTTAAAAATGTTTTGGTGGGGATGTTTTGAATATCAAAGTCCTGGAAGTCTCCCGTAACAGATGCCAAGTTGCAGATGACTAATCCGGCTCTCGGTCTTGTAACATACGCTAATGTATCCCCCAAAACATTGCCATGGAAAAGGAGCAAAAATACCACAAATAGACGTATCGCCTAAAAATAGCACTTGTAATTTATGATGTGTGCCTTATTTGACGTTCCACGTGACCGCAATTGGCACCGGTTCATGAAACCTGATCGTCGTTCGCAGCATCGCCGGGCTCAACCACCGATGTCACTTGGCACAGCACCTTCAGGCTAGGTCGGACTCCGTTTTGGCCCTTAGATGGATAGCTCGTACGTCTATATCAATGACAAAAACCATAACTCGCTCTGTTTCAGTCAATCCTAGCGCCATGGCTTTCATCATGCACCCATGGTTCAGAGACATTCCAACAATGTTTTTTTGTATTTTCAACGGCCCAGTGCAAGTGTCCTCTTTCATTCAGCTGCCTATCTTTTAGCTTTCCAGTCTCAACTATTTAGCAAGAAGCTTATACCGTGAATCTGCGCATTCTTAGGCGAGCTCTAGTCTCTAGTGTCTCAGGCCTAGACAATGTGATGGGAGAGTTAGGCTACAACAAACTCCAAGAGCAGGCGGCCCGTACAAGGATAGAACAATATTTTCAGATTCTGCTGTGGAAGAGAGACAGCTCGAGACGCAGCTCAAGGTTCTAAATTACCCCATAAAAGACACACTATCCTAGGTGACGCTCTCACTACCTCGATATTTTGCCGCAAGAAGTACTCTATCTGGTTATGCTCATGTACTGCACATGCATGCGTGGGAGGTTGCCTCCTAAATTTTCCTCAACAGCCATCTGGGAAGATTTCTCGAATGATCCCTCCAACTTGCGTCATTGGCGTGATGATAGTTGCTGATATTGAACGGTTAAACCCATCTTCTTCCCGCCTCCTTCGTCCTCTTGGCCGCATCTGCCTTGGCGAGGAAATACTCCTCCCTTCTTAATTTCATTTTGGAAAGTTGCCTCGGTTCTCATGTTCAGCAAAAGCTACCATATGGGATGCGATCTTAGGTATTTTCAGCCGTGCCCCAACGGTTTTGATATCTTTAAGCCTCGAATGCGGGGATAAGTATTCCCAATATCCCAGTCGTATCACCCAAGACTGCCGAATACACCATTACACACCAGCAAGCTACCCTTTTGATATAGGGTTGGTTTGCTGTCAAATGTGGAAATATATCTGCCAGATGAAGCCCATCTATATATCTTCCTCTGCCATTCACAGGCCTAGAACTGGATTATGTCTTTGCTGCCCAACTGACAAATTCATATACGTTTGTAGCGCACGAACTGTTGTTGACCTAAATCATTGCAAAGCTAGTCTGAATTAGAAAGGCAGCTGTAAATAGTAACACACATAGACTTCAACCTCACCTTTATAAAGTTTTATGAATAATAGAGATTTTAACTCAACAGCTCTGTAATAGATATTCATTTTTTAAAAGAAAACAAAATCGAAAGAAAACAAAACAACAAAGAAAACAAGAAAATAACAAATTAATTTTTTTTTTTTTTTCATATTGTTCTTTACTTACAAATAAATGATTTTCTTTTCATATTTTCAAGATTTATGATTTTGATAACTCTTTTCTCTCACTCTTTTTACATGACTTTATTGTTTGATTATAGAGTCTAAATGTTCTTCATTCTGAATAAATACCTTTGTTGACATTCAAAGTTAATTGATTTGATCTTTATAATTATAATTTTTTTTTTTTTCTTTATTGTTTTATTTCTATTTTATTTATTTTTTATTAACTTCTTATAATCAACTAATCTAGTTTCCATGTCAGTTTTTAATTTAATAATTAACTTTATTTATTATGAAAATATTATTTATGATAGAAATAGTAACTTTTTATACAATTATAGTGATGGCTAGCATATATCTTCTAATAATAATTGAGTAAGAATAGCAATCTCCTACGATGTTATAATGATAGCTAGTATATATGTTTTAACAGTAATTGAGCAGATTAATAGAGATTTAAAAAAGTATTTATCTTAAATGTAATGAGAAATATAGACATCAGACTTACAATATTATAATATTTTTATTAAAGTAATTAATTTTTTTTTTAAGTTATTAAGTTCAGAAGTCGCGAGAATGAGGCTGTAGCTGCTTTTTATTTTGTTGTTAGCATCTAATATTAACCAACAGTTGCAGTCAGTCGTCACGACTCTGCCTGCTGCACGTGGTCGTTGATAGAGCCTGTGTATTGTGGAGCTGGCCTCGGGGGGGATCGCCGACTGAACCACGAACGCATCGAACGTGATATTCGTCATCATGATTTCAGGCCAGAGGAACCATGTGAACAGAGCTTCTTCCCAACCAATCAGAGCTTGAGAATGCATTTCAAAGTGGGCCAATAAGAACACAGAATTTCAATGATCACCGTGGTTACCGGCCCTGGGAATCACGTGAATCTAAGTTCTCATCGAACCAAATCAGAGCGTGAGAATGCATCCGAAGAGGACCAATAAGAATGCAGTATTGCAATGATCGCCCAGAAGGTAATTCTCTGGCCAGGGGAGGGCGGGGCAACTTATTATTATTATTTGCTTCTCTCGCTTCGTACGCGCCAACCCGAACCTTAAAAAAAAAAACATGAAGCGAGACCCCCGCACCGCCCGACTCCTTTTCGTCCCCCTGGCCATGACGGTTTGTTTTAGCAACGAAGCAGGAAAGTCAACAAAGAAATTCCGTTGGATGGCAAGGACAAAGAAGGAGAGGTGCTACCTCCTCCTCCAATCGTACGGAGAAATCCACTACGGCGCCAACTTCGGCTTGTTTCGTGGATACGGTGAGATGCCTCAACGACAGACAGGCCTTTCTCCTTCTCCCTACCTACCTTACATAGGATGGATGGGTTTCCCCTACACGTTTATTAACACCTTCCCCTCGCTTGACGGAACTCAAAACAGTCATTCAATGCAAATTTTGATTTTATATTAATATATGCGTCTACAGTTCTATTATGAATCCCCACAACTAAACTGAAACGGAGCAAATTTTTTCCTTTTGATCTATTTTATATTTTGACACGTCACGTATTCCCTTTTCTGCAAAATAACCAACCTGCTTCCTTTCTAGCTCTTGATATCGACTTTGGCAGGTCTTAATAGAACGCCCACAGATTCCATCCATGTCTAAGCATTTTGATAGTGAGAAAACAGACCAAAGCCCCGAAATTGCAGACGATAGTAAACGTAATAAGGCCCCAGTAATGACCCCCATTGCGGGTCAAAATGAAACCTGCGATTGGCGTGCCGGTCAAGGATCTAACCGAAGAAAGCCATTAGTATCACATGTTCTGTATGTTTTTAAAAAACGGGACCAGAGTGGCAGCGAAACGTACCCAACACTAACAATTGTATAGGAAGTCGCGTAATACCTCCCATAGTGTTCTAATTTACAACACTGGCTGATACAAACAGGTGTCAAGCTGATGGTGCTCCCGCTTCCAAAACCAAAAATCAAAGCGTACGCAACCAACATTGCAACGCTATCCTGGGCTGGCAACCACAGACACGCGCAGGATAAGAAGCATATTATGATAGTCACTATCATGGTGTTGACCCGTCCCATGTAATCTGCTGTGAAGCCTGGGATCCATCGCCCGAAGAAAGACCCTGCATTAAAGATCGCAGGCACTTGGTATGAGAACTTTTCCGACATGCCATGCGCTAGAGCATATGCTGAGATGTAGGTGATGGGAACGAAGAAGCCCAATTCTATGAAGAATACCCCCAATGTCGTCAATGCAAACTCCGGTTCCCTTAAAATTCGGAAGTCGGGGAGAATGTTTTCCTTAGTGGCTTTTTTCTTTGGCAGCCTTGATCTGATAAATATGCATCCAATCCCCACTGAGACAATCGTTACCAAAGCCGCAGCTCGGGTTGCCCATGCGAATCCAAGTTTTGGAAACAGATCTTGCAACATTAGCGGGTATAGCACACCCCCAAGACTTCCTCCTGTCGTGGCAATTCCTGTTGCACGTCCTCTCAGCCGATAGAAGAAATGGCCCGGGCTGGCGACTCCGGGAGTGAAGATCAGGGAGGAGCCTAGACCACCAATAATTCCCCAGACAACCATGAAATGCCAGTATTCCGTACAAAGCCCAATAAGAGCAATGCTAAGCACAACCATGACCGAGCCCGCAAAGATGAGATACCGAGGACCCTTGGCGTCGAAGATTGGGCCAATTTGGATGCCAGCAAAGAACATGAGGAACGCATAGACGCCGAAGATCCAGCTGATGCTGCTATGGCTATAGTCCTTTAGTTGATGGGTAGATATCCATGCCATGAAGGTTCCTAGGGAGTTTGCGAGCCCAGAGGAGCCAAAGAGCGCCATGAGGGATCCAACAACGACGAGATATGCCTCGAGTCCGCCCTCCGGGTACACATTTCCTTCGCGGTCTCTCGAGAGGCCATCATCTGGGGATTCCGGTCCGCCATTCGCCACCGAAGGGCTAGATGAGATGGAAGTTTCGCTTGAATGCTTTTCTATATCGACTTCTGTATCGTAATTGGCAACTCCTTTGTCCAAATCGATATTTTGAGGCCAGACTAACTCCTTGTCTGTATTAACTTCCACTCTTGTCTTTTCACTAGTTCGATTCGCTATCTGCTTTTCGTCGATCACTGCTGTGAAGTCCGTCTGGGCCGACGGTGTTGATGACCCTTGCTGTCCATCCTGGGTCCCGGAATTCTCGCTATTATATTCGTTAAATTTCTCCATGAGCGCCAGGGCTTTCAGGGATTGATTTCATCAGCTATAATATACCGGTAACGACTGTGACCGTTCACGAACCACCTCTTCCGATTTTCCAATTTAAAATAACGTCCGTGCCTGTGATAACCTTTTTAACAACTGAATTTATTGCTTTATGGCCGATTCATTCCTGCATAAACCTAAAGGGGCGAAGCTCCAAAATCCTCCCTGAATCCGGGAGCATAAGGATCCAATACTGTAGATTTTGAGATGAATTTTAAGTAGAAAATGTGGACGCTGAGTCGGGACAGGAGGTGAGGGTAGATGTTGCTCTTCGATGGAGTGAAGGAAATGCGATTTCAGAAAATCCCGTTGCTGAGTCTCTCTAGGCTTGCCAGATGGTGAATTCACTGCGTACCAACTCAATTCAAAAAGCCGTTGTAAATACAAAAAAGGATTTACTTGTTCAATTGTAGAGCAGCAAGTGGAATGATTACTTATATAACACAATCAAGAAATCATACATGGTTTGGGCGAGGCCTCCTATGCTCAAAATTAATAATCATCAGCGTTTGAGAAAAACCTTGGATCCTTATTGCTTGAGCAGCCCTACGAGTTACCAAGGGCAAATTTTCCGATATCCCGCTCATTCATCAGTTTGGTGGCGATAAGGTGGCGGAAACGCAGGAGAATTTAATATGCCAAAAAAATTGGACCACATTCGTCATATTCACATGTTTCATCTCCCCAGATTTTAAGCAATCCCCCAAAAAGCTTAACTCCTTTGTCACAAAGTATCCCGCTCCCTTCTTCTGCTTGGGCTGGGTGACTGGGTGACTTCGCCCGTCGCTTAGCCACATGGTCATTGCACCAAGTTATTTTTGGACTTTGGTGCAAACCATGAAAAATTATGCTTTTGATTAGCACAAGCCCTGTGCCAGCTTCCACGCTAGCCTCTTCTGGCCTAGCTCGTCCATTCCACGTTTGGCCGTAACATCATCTTAGCTGCCGTTGAAGAACAAGCGTCTCTTGATTATCATATCATCGAATATCATAATCAATTCGCTTTTTGCGCACTCACATGCTGAATTCCGTCGTCGGGAGTTCCTTTCACTCGATCTTGAACTTGCCTCTTGAACCCCTTCCAGCCAGCCCTGGGTTCTGACTTACGAATTCAATATATTTCAAGCCGCATGATTATTTTCCCAAGCGAAAGAAGAAGATCTTCGAGTTTTGCGGTGAGTTTACACCCATTTTCGGATTGCTAATACATTTTAAGGCCTACAGCATCGCTCCCGTGTTGTCACATATGGTCATAGGGAGTGGGAAAACGAGAGCTTCCCGTCCGCTCAGCCGTACTTAGTTAAGCCGGCCTGTTGCTAGTTGGGGGTCGGTAACCACCAGCCAATCCAGGCTACCGTATGTTTTCTGCTTTGTCGATATTTTCTTGTTTGCGGGTGGGGGCGGTAAAGGGAAGCGGAGAGGGTAAAAGGGGTTGGTTGGGGAGTTCGCGTTTTCCTCTCTTCTCTTTGTACCCTTGAGGCTGTTACATCATTCAACGGCATGCACCCGTCTTTTGAGTTGGTATGATGCGATGGATTGATCTCCTAATGGCTTCAGCGATTCGGACTGCTCCTCCGTTCCCTGCGTTCATTAGAATTTCTTGGTATGACGGACCCAACTTATTAAAAAAAAATAGACGACATCCAGCTCTTGAGCTGCTGTCTGCTGGCTCTTTTCCGTCTGGGGTTTAACCTCCAGATCCAATTCTGAATGCATGCCATTCCTGCATGGCTGAAGTAATGGTATGGGCCGTTTTTGGTGAATAAGCTGCTGAAAGGCATATAGTTATATCATTTCATCATCAAAGTCATCAATAACTCTGGTTGCCTAAAAGTTTGTACTCGAAAATTTGACACGCTTCCACCCGACCAACTCTTGAGTATATAGTTAGGATGATGGTGTAGTTTAACTTCAGCTAGCTTCGTTAAGCGACCTGGGCATACCTCTAGAGGTTGATGATTTTGCGGAATTTTTATCAAATTCTTGCTTTCTCTTTTTTCAAAACTTTTTAACATACCAACCGATGATTTAACCAGAATATGTGAGAATGTGCGAGAGAATTGTGTGTGGGCTGCGAGAGTCTCTGATAGACAATTTCAGATTAAGAGTCTATAAGATATGACTATTGGGCTATTGAGATTAGAGAACTGTTGATATTCTTATAACCTATGATATGATAAAATGAATTTTTATTTCACTTAGATTTAATACGTTTCTAACAGCATCACAGAGTGATATTGAAATATTCAACTAAGAAAGCTTAAAAAATAACTGTATGTTTGTTATGTTTTGAAAGAGGAAATCTCAAGTGACTTGAGTGAAAAATAATACAAAGTTAAAGCATCAAAAAGTCTGTGAAATGAAAATCTTTCAATATTTAAGCTGGGTTCTAGTTAATTGTGAAAGAATACATAGTTCTTCTTATTAGGTATCAAATATGTTTGAAGATAGAGTCAAGTATATAAATTACAGTCTTGAATAATTTTTTTTTCTTTTTCTATTTTCATCTTATCTGCACATTACAGACATCATTGATCTTTATTTAGACAATTACTCACTCCCTTCGCTGTGCTGTTTTATATATATATATGCGACCGGAGATGAGCACTGACATTGTCACAAACTTTCTGTCATAAGAAAAAACAATAATTTGACAAATAAAAAGTTCTTGTTAAATGGAAAATCACTGCAAAACAAAGTGTTTATGTCATATTAAAGGTGATTTCAAATGTGTCATTCCTACTGTTAAGTAAATGATGAATCAGAATGATAATTATGGGACATGGCTTTTTTGCTCTCTTTTCTATTATGTTAACCGCTGGTTGGTCTAGAATATGTGTCATCCACCACCTGTTTTCGCATGCTTAAATTAGCTGCCAGAAGATTGCTCGTGAAAGGTGGAAATGTATCATTCTCCCCTTCTCTGAGAAATTAATGATGGGACAGTCAATTGGGGCCACGGTTCGCTGTTTAATATCTCCTCGTTCATCTTTTTTGCATTTTTTTTTACTTTGACAGGTCCCACTGTGGCAGACGGACTCAAGAGAAGGCACCTGTTTATGATCTGCATCTTGCAAGGACTGAACAGGAACAAAATCTAATTCACCAGGAACAATAAATCTAAGTTGATGACACGCCCAACTCCAACCCCTTGCAAATCAAAATTACCCGGGTCAGTCAAATCTTCTCATCTGCCTTGGTCGGGAGCGTTGGCCTGATGAAAGAGGCTCTAACGGCGCAACTGTTTAGTTGCTGCGGACATGGTTGTTCTGGAAGAAAACCTTGGCTGACAGGCCAAATTGCGTTATTGAGGAGCTAAAACGGCTGGTCCAATCCGCCAATAGCGTTTTGGGTTGGTGAAGGTGGCGAACGAGATCTTTAGCGCCGCACCTTAGGTGAGCACTGTGTCCTATTATCAGTCGCATGAAAGTTCATCACTTTACTCTGGTTCGCGGGCAAATCATCCATCAACTCAAGGTAAAATGCACGACATCATCATTCTCTCGAACAGGACATCGAGGATATCTGGTTCTCTTTTGTTCTGGATTTTCTATAATAATAATAATAATAATAATAATAATAATAATAATAATAATACAGCTAAATTTAATTTTATATAAGTTAAATTCTACTATTAATCAGATAAGATGTTGATCATATAAATAAATAAATAAATAAATAAATAAATAAAAATCTTTTTTTTTAGTAAAAACAAATCATATTATCAGAAGATTTTATTTAAAAAATGAGATAATAAGTTCTATTTCTAAAATCTTATAGCTATTATGTCAAATTTAATTCTACTACTAATCACTATTTTAAAACTAATTAAAGATATTTCATTAACTATCATTATTTATTTATTAAAGTAAGTATGTTGAATAAATTTATAATTATTTTACTATTATATTATTATTAACTGAGTAATTTTATTTACTTCATTGATTTTACTTTTTATTTACTTCATATAATTCTATATATGTTCATTTAACTTCTATAGTAAAGTCTCTATAAATAAGCTATAAATAGTTTTATTATAAATTTAATTAATAATACTAGTTTTATCAATATAAAAATAATTATATTATTACACTTTAAATTATATAATTAAAAGTTTAATTTAATATTATTAATAAAATATTTAAAATATTTAATTTCTATAATTTTTATCTATATTAAGTTTTTTTTAAAAAAAATTTATATTATTTAATTAATTGATTTATATATTTATTAATAGTTTATATATATTTAAAATTATATTATATATTAATTATATTAATTTTTTATTATAAAAAAATTTTAAAATAATTTAATAAATTAAATAAAAAAGATCTATAATATATAAAATTATATAAAAAATTTAAAAAATTAATAAAAATATAATATTTATTAAAAAATAAATTAAAAATTAAATATTAAAATTTAAAAAAGTTTTATTTTATAATTATATATTTTAAAATATATTTATTGATTAAATATAAAATAGTTAAATTTAAATTTAATTAAATAAATATTATAATTTTTAACTATATTTATATATAAAATAAATAATAATAATAATAATATATGAGAATATTTGAAATAAATAAATTAAGTGTTAAAAGATAGTGTAATAAGTACTATAACTAATATCATAAAAAAGTAAAAATATATATAAAATTAAATAATAATTAATTATTAAATCTTTTAAAGAAATTTTATAGATTTAAAATATTTATATATATAAATAAATAATAATATATATAATATTTAATCTTCTATAAAATAAAAAATTAATAATATAATAATTTAATTTTTTATAAAATATTAATTCTATTTTTTAAAAAATATTAATTTTAAATATTGATTTTAAAGTATTGAATTTTAAAATAATATTAATTTTCTAGAAAATATTAATTTTAAAATATTTTAATAAGTAGTATAAAAATAAAAAACTAGCATTAAAAGTCTTAACATCATAGTTA